GCCGACCTCCAGTGCCGCCACGGTTTATTTTAAATCTAATTCTCAGCTGCAATTCAATAAAAACGTTATGCTGTCGGATGGTTTATTGAATGTTAAGAATTATAAAAGTGCTTTAACAGTATACAATCCGTCTTCGTTTCCTCGCACATTACCAATTAACACCGTATTAGGTAATGCCACGTTTCTTGACACAAGACAATCTCGATTTCACTCTGTTACCGAAGTTCCATCGTTCGTAAGTGCTATTAATACGCCTGTGATCCTTTCGCACATTTCTACTGAACCTTCCGTACTATCGCCAACACGTCACCTACGGTCACAACATAATACGCTTCTCGATACGGTATCTCGTCTCACCGATCACCTTCATGACAAAACTGATGCCACGAACGTCCAACAGATCTTGTATCAGCATCTACAATTATTCGACACTTCCGCACCAACACAGGCTTCTATAAAAAATTTTCATACTATAAATACTGGCGATCACCCACCAGTAAACTCGAAACCATATCCTAAACCTATACACCAACGTAAACAGTTACAGAATGAAATCGACAAATTTTTAAAATACGGTATCGCCTCACCGTCTAATTCGCCTTGGTCGTCACCGGTCATTCTGCAAGAAAAAAATAATGGCGAGTTTCGTTTTTTGGTTGACTATCGGAAGCTCAATGCAGTCACCAAGAAAGATGCCTATCCACAACCTACAGTTGAAGAATTAATTAATCGTCTAGGTGGCCATAAATATTTCACGAAATTAGACTTAAAGTCAGGCTACTTTCAAATACCGATCAATCTAAAAGATCGAGAAAAGACTGCTTTTATTACTCAAGACGGTCTGTACCAATTTAATGTCCTTCCTCAGGGTGTGATGAACGGGAACTTTCCAACGCGTAATGAACAATTTGATTGGCAATGGACGCTGGGATTATGTTTTGGTATATTTGGACGATATCGTGATATTTTCTAAAAGCCGTGACGATCACTTAAAACATATCTCCGAAATTCTCTCAATTCTTCATGAAGCTAATTTTCAACTAAATCCTGACAAATGTACCATCATGACTACAAAATTAGAGTTTCTCGGACATACCATCACTGAACAACAAATAACACCATCTCAAGATCGTATACAAGCAATCTTGAACATAGAAGAACCAAGGACGTTAAAACAAGCAAACAGATTTATTGGAAAAATGAATTGGTATCGGAAGTTTATACCACATTTTGCCGACATGGCGGCTCCAATTCACCGCGTAACAAATAAAACTAAGAACAAACGACGTGAATTTTATTGGGGACCAGAACAAACAACAGCCTTTCATCACCTTAAACGAATCCTCGTTACTCAACCATGACTATTAGATTATCCTGATGCCTCAGCTCCGTTTATATTGTGCACTGATGCCTCAGAAGTCGGAATTGGAGGTGTTTTAAGGCAAGAAACGTCAATGGTGTCCGAATTAATTATTACATTTCCAAGAAACTTAGTCCTACGGAACGTCGATACAAAAATACCGAACGTGAACCATTTGCCATCTATTATTGCCTTTCCAAGCTACGTGATTACATTGGCACTCACAACATTGTTATTGAAACCGATTATAAGCCAGCAGTCAACTGTCATAAACAATCAATGAATAATAAACGTGTTGATAACTGGTTCTTGAAAATCCAAGACATGCTCCCGCAAGTGGACATGAAATATATTCCAGGATCAAAAAACGGAGCGGCAGATGCATTATCTCGTTCATCAAATTTCTTTCCTGATGTTAATGGCTCCATAGAAGACGACGAACGGCATGAACCTCTCATTAAACCTTCGCGTACTCTTCGTCAAACCACAATCGACTACCCTACCAAATCTTCACTTCTTCAGGCCGTCACCACTCGATCTATGGCTCAACAGACACCTCCAAACCCGATGTCGACACCGTCCCCGACAACTCTCCCTTCGATGGCACCACCATTGTCATCTCAAATTCTCGATTTTAGTCATGATAAACTTCGCGCGGAACAACAACATGATGCGATAATCGTGGACAAAATTCGACTCTCTCAACAAAAAGTTAATCCATCTTATCTTATTTCCGATGGAATCCTGAATAAAATTGTTCTAACTAAACACGGACCTACACCTCTACCATATCTACCTAGCAGCCTCATACCAGACATCCTGTTCGCTCACCACGATCATCCACTCGGAAGTCATTTTGGCATCGATCGAACTTATCATCATCTCCGCGAGAAATATTATTGGCCCAAAATGCTCGAATCCGTAACCAACTATATTCAATCGTGCCCACAATGTGCACAATTCAACATTCGGCGTCAAAAACCACCCGGTCATTTACAGCCTATTCCACCACCCAATGAAGTATTTCAAGTGATTGGCCTGGATTGGTGGGGCCCAGCACCTGAAGAGTCTGCCGATGGCAACAAATATGTGTTAGTTATCACAGATTTTTTATCTAAATATGTTATTGCCGCTGCTTTACCGGCAAGTAATGCTGCTAACACCGCCAAAACTCTACTGGAAGACTTCATCTTGCATCAAGGTGCTCCCGATTGTGTCATCACAGATCAAAGAACTCATTTCGCAAATGAACTCATCACTGCTTTCACCCAAATGCTTGGAACAAAGCATATCTTCTCCACTTCATTTCATCCACAAACAAATGGACAAGTAGAAAGATTTAATGCTACATTTTGTCAACAACTATCAAAATATTGTTCATCAAATCACGAAAACTGGGACCATTATTTGAAATATATAATTTATGCGTACAATAATACCAAACATGCCACCACCAACTATACACCTTAAAAATGCGTTCAATCGTCATCCTCGGTTTCCCTTCGATCAACCGCAACAAACTTTTCGCTTTTCTCGTGCAAATGATTATTGGTTGCGAATCGTTACGTATAAAAAATTTATCCAAAATGTTATTAAAGCCAATATCGCTGAACAACGACGTCTAGCTAAAACTCGATATGATAAAAATCGTTCGCATCCATCGTATACTGTCAATGAGCTTGTGTGGCTACAAATATTAGGTTCTCGATCAAAATTCGATCCTCGTTATACAGGACCGTTCGTTATCGTGAAAGTCCTATCTCCAGTAACTTATCAAGTATTACATCAAAATGATCATTATGAACAGATAGTACATGTAAATAATCTACGTCCTGTATATGAACGTGTCTTCTAGCTAATCTACATCTTTTTCGAATCTCTATTCACGGTCCTGGGCTATCTCAAATGGTGGCAGCTCCTGATTATTATGGACCAGTGTTGCGCTTTATTCTAGTTTATTCGTTTACTTTTCTTTTCTGTTCACATGTGCTTTTAATCTTAGCAGCTCCTCTTCTGTTTTGGAATATAGGTATCCTTTTTCTTATCTCGATTCTTGCAGTCATTTTGCCTTTCAATTTTCACGTGTACCTGTGCTTATTATCTTAAAACACCGGGGGAAGTGTTATGTCAGTCGTTACTGGCATAAGTCATGGCTCTCCCAAATAGCATTCTCTTTGTCATCATTCCTTCTCTCTGTCATTATTCCTTCTCTCTGTCATCATTCCTTCTCTCTGTCATCATTCCTTCTCTTATCATAGCTACATTCATTGTGTTCAGATTCTTTTCTCTCTCTCTCTCACGTATATATATTGTGAGGTTTTCTCTACAGAAGGGAGTTTTTTGTTTTTCCTGATTGTATTGTTGGAATAAAAGGAGATGGGTATAACAGCGGTGATGTGAACGTTTGATTTGAATGGTTCAAAAAACGATGAGAAGTACAATAAGACATAATCTGGAAAAAAAATTATAAGTAGAATATATCTGAATCCCAGTGAATAACACTACATGAAAATCCGCTACTTGAAATTTCATTTAAGTGTACTTCAACTTTGTCAAAACGATGAAGAAAATCACATGAACAAATCCTCGAGGGATATTCATCTTAAAACTATATGATCAGATCCGTGTGGCCGGGATCAGTACGTTTGCACACTAGTATATCGTGGTCAAGCAATAAAATGCATCAGTATCACAACTACCACGCTTCGATTTTAAAGAAATATTTGAAACAATCCGTCGATCGTAAGGGAATTTCATGAAAAATAGGACGCCTTTGAACTGCGTGTGCAGAAGTAATAGAGAGCACAGGAATGAAAATATAAACGCTACCAAACTGGTTAACATAAACCTATAACTATCGTTTCCTCCGTTCTGTTGTTATTATCCTGTTATTCGGTTATGATCATTGTGGATCAAATTAATCGTCGATCAAATGATAGCCCCTCGAACCAGTGAAGTGATCAGTCTCCCCGACAGGCATTGCTAAATCATCAAACCACCAAACAATTATGTCCATAATGATGACAAAAATTTCCGATCGGCTGGACTCTTGATCAAGTTTGTTGGTGTTATTAATTCACGAAAGTCGCTCGACGATTGGAATTATCGAGTCAACAGTGACTTGTTTTTGATATTCTGGTTTACGCACGTGCTCAACAAAATACGTTTTCGGTCCCAATTGTTTCTGCACCCGAAACTGACCTTCATTACGCACAGAAAACTTATTTCTCGCCGCTGTTGTTTTGACAAGAACTAAGTCTCCTATTGAATATGTTGGATTACTTCGATTTAGATCGTACTTCTCCTTGTATTTTCGTTGACTGTTGAGGACAATCCGTTTCATGTCCTGGGTTAGAGACGAAATGTAGTCTTTCGCATACTCTAAATATTCGTCCCTTTCCATTGTCGATACCACTGAGGATTGAGGATCGAATGGTAGAACGGGTTTTCTGCCATACATTAACTCAAACGGAATGTGTTTGGTGGTGGCGTGTACGCTGGTGTTATAGATAAATGTAACAAAAGGTAACTGTTCATGCCAGTTTGTTTTTCTTTCATTAGCTAGCACCGCGATTTTCGCATCCATTGTTGCATTAAATCGTTCTATTTGACCATTTGTCTGAGGATGATAAGGTGTTGAATAAAGATGTGTTGCCCCAATGCTTTTTAATAGGTTGTTAAACATCATTGCTGTGAAATGTGATCCATTGTCAGTTAGTATACATCGGGGTGTCCCGTATTTAGTGATTACTTCCTGCTGAAGAAATTCTGCAGCCGTTTCTGCACTATTGTCGCGCACGGCTTTAGCAATAACAAATTTAGACATGATATCGGTGATAGATATAATATACTTATGTCCTCTCGCCGATGATGGGATAATTGGACCGTGATAATCCATCGCTAATAGCTGCCAGACACCC